CTTTATGAAATCTTTTCAATTTTCTTAACATGGTCATAACATCTGCACCAATTTGTGAGATATACCTGAAAACCCCGATAAAGCAGCTATTAAGTAAGAATAATATAAAAAAACACAACCCTCCTTCTGACACAGTTGGGTAATAAACTAAATGTATCAAAACATTTCAGTCCAACTTACTGTCAACTCGACGACGCGCTGTAGAATCAAAGATCGACTTTGAATTATGCCTTATTTTACAATTCACATTGAAAACAATATGCCTTGCTGGAACTTTTTCGACTTTTTCACAAAAATAACAAATAGTCAAGAAGAGATTACAAAAATTTTGCAGCGGCTGACAGATTTCATAATTTTCTTTGACAGGTGACAATTAAACCATAGACAATTGCCATAAGAAAAACACACTTTTCCAATATTTTTGTTTGCCATGAGATTCTGGTACACCTATACAATAATTTCAATCCGCGATTAACGAGAGGTTTTGTCGCCTCACTAGGGCACAGATTATAAATGTTTTAATGTCAGTTGGCCATATTTGTTTACATATAGGGAAATTTCTAAAGAAACCGACTTTACAGAGCGACTTGAAAAAATTTCTTCTCTTAAAATATTTTCAGAATTGCTATCTTACGAAACTCGAGTTGAATCCCCCTATAATATTATCTTTGGTAACGTGCAACAACGATTACTCCGAGTCTACTTAGTGAAGAATACCAGAATTACTTTAAAAATATTTACCAAGCAGGAGAAATATAAATTGCAAGACGTTTTATTGTAGGTTGAGCATCAGTGGGAGAACTTCGCGTTCAGTTTCGCGCCAGAAGGCTGGCGCGCGAGGTACCACATCTACTCTCCAGGGACCAAGCCTGGTGGTGGTCAGCAGCACCGCCCTGGACTGTCTAAGAATGGTTTACTTCAAGTTTTCATCAACATCATCATCATTATCAAGACATTTTATTTAGTCTCCAATGCAGGACCACGACTGAGAGAGTCATAACCAGAGGAAAATTATTGATCTTTAGATGCCTACTGAATTAGATAATGAATTCAGCTTATTGAACACTTGGTCCTACAATCCTGCTTGTTATTTCTAGTATCACGAAACATTCAGTTCCTCGGTGTTTCTGCTACCATTGAGAAAATCATACCTTTTACTTTTAACCCATTTAGACCGATAATTATTTTTGGAAATAAAAATTGTCTTTCCAGCAAAAACTTACAAAGGGAAGCCTAAAAATCATGAAAAAAATATTAAAAAAAATAATCCATAAATAGGGGGCCGTGGGGAGCCCGTACCATAAAGGGTACAGTAGGTCTATAAGCAAGCAAAACATAGTCGTTGTTCAAAGAAGATTTTTATTTATTTTTGTATGATATAAAATAAAAATGAAATCATATAATCACTAGTATCACACTCGGCATATCTTGCAAGACGTTTTCTGTGATACTATCCACATTTGGTTTTTTTTTCCTACCTTCTCCGAAGTTAGTGAGGATAGCTGAAGAAGACCTGGCTTCTTCTGATTTGTTACGTTTAGTGCTATCCATAATCGCATTTAGCAAAACGACCATGGAAATTTAGCAAATCCATCGAAGAAACCTCTGAGGGTTATTATTTACATTGACACTATCTTTATCGCCTAAATCTTCGTCAGTCTGATCATCATTAGCGGTCATCTGACAAGACAGCAGTAGAAAAATACCAAAATTTCTTTATGTTTGCTGAAATTATCAAATTTTTCATGATTTGTGGCAATAAATTGAAGCATCAATAGCCTACAACAAATAAAAATAATAAAAATTAAATTATATTTTTTCGCATGATTTGCTCATGCATAGACCTACTGTACCTTATACGGTACACCTATTTTAGACTGGAATAAACCGTATAAAAATAATCTAAATAATATTTTTTTCTAGTCATGATATTTAATGTACTCTATTTTTAAAATAAAATTGATAAATAACATAATTTACAATTAATAATAAGAAATTATACCTTCTTAAAAACATTGTAAATTTTTTTTTGTTTTCTGTCGAGGAATTTCATAAATATTTCCGAAACCACTTGTTAAAACATATTTTTAAATATTTTTATGTAAAATAATAACTTTAAGCTTACTGTCACAATCATTTTTACAAATTAATAACAGTTTGGTACTTCGAAATATTTTCAAAAAGATACCGTACCACATAGGGTACGGTAGGGCTAAATGGGTTAAAAATATTGGTAGAACCACTACAAAGTTATATTTGTCATGGAACTACCAAATAGGATCAAGAGAATAGCCCTGACTGATTGAGTCTTCCCAGATATTTATCTTCTTCTTCCTTCCAGGATGCTACCTCGTCCGGCTCTTCTACCTCGGCGCCTGGAGATGCGTCTGGGTCAGTGACCAGGTCCCAGTCGATGCCACCGACTCCCCCCTCCTGCCGTTCTCTCCTCTCCTTAGTAATATGCCTACAGGCAAGCCGGGGCCCAAGCAAGTGATCACTACTGTCACAGCACCGATCGTACATCTGTGGCCTTTGCTGCTCTGCAAGGTAAGTCTAGAATCCTAATTCTGTTTTCCAAAAATTGCAACAATTCTGCCAACAATAGCACAATACATCTTGGTAACCGAACCCGTAACCACAGCTGAATTTTATTGTAATCTGGTACACGAGAACCATTAAATGCAATAAAGCAATGGAACTACTAAATCTGTAAATCTACTATATAAAAATAAGTCGGGTTTTACTTCCTGACGCTATAACTCCAGAATCTCGAACCGATTTCTAGGGTTTTGCATTCGTTGGAAAGGTCTCGGGTTCCGTGAGGTTTACAGCAAAGAAAATTCAGGAAAATTTAACAAACGAAATTCCACGCGGGCGAAGCCGCGGGCAGAAAGCTAGTTATTAAATAAATAAGTCATAGCCGTTATTTTAGACCCTTTTAAATTTCGCAAACATCAAAAGAAACGACTTGAAGAACAAATTAATACGAGTCGTAGCCTTATAATACACAAAAACCTAATACGTTCCATTCTCGTTACACAACACCGCATCTGTTTAACGGAGTATCCTCGTTTTCCGTCATATTTCCCCACTTAACTTGGCTCGGCGAGTAATAGCATTATTACAAGGGTATTTTCACTCCTTTCTTATTCTCCGGACCGCAGACCGCAACCAGAGTAAATACAAATGAGTAGGTCATCTTCATAGAAACGCCCGAGCGCTGTATGTATGAGAGCGCGCGCCAATACGTATGCGGCGCGCACGCATACACTGACAAAATTTAGCGTTGATAGCGGTGAGTTGCCCGAATTTTGTCAGTGTGTGCGTGCGCGCTGCATACGTTTTGGCGCGCGCTCACATACAAACCGCGCTCGGTGCGTTTCTATGAAGATGACCTACTCATTTGTATTTACTCTGCCGCAACACTCAATTAGAGACTGGCTTGCTACCAATAATGGGGTAAATCTTCAATTTATTTACCAACCGTACAGTTAAGAAATGTATTTCAAGAAGCGTCTTATGCTGAAGATATAAAGTCCAAATTGTTGCAAATGTTTATGAAATTTCCTTTACTATGATTCAGAAGAATGACGTTTGGTAAGATAGGTAATTTAACGAAGAATGCCGAAATACGTAATAGGTTAACTAGCGTTGTGGTTTTGTGCTAAGTAATAGTTGTAATAGACTTTGAACAAAAATTAAATAAGTTATGTATTTAGCAATTTACAGACAACATGATTCCAATGTAGAAAAGTAAAAAACTTAGCTGTAAATAAACTTTAAAAATATTTAAGGTATTTACTATTGACTTGCGTTGCCAAATTGAACGACAAAATTTTAGAGCTACTAAGGAGTCATCATTTAACTGGAAAATTACTCAAAGTATACTCAAACTTTTTACTGCTTCACTCAAAATAACTCGTGCGCCTCCTCGAGTTTGATGGCAATTCATCGCACGCGACGTTTTGATTGCTAATCAAAATTTAACAGGCGTTGCTAAAGTTGGCGGCTCCTGACATGAATTCTGATGAGGAGCTGGATTCTGTGGAAGACGAGCCGATGCCTGAGTTCAACATGATGCATGCCCTTACGGGGGCAATGAACTTGACATACAACGTCAGTGGTAAGTAACCTATGATTACTTATTAATTATGCTAATTAGGCCCTATTAGACTAGACTAGACTAGACTTATTAAAATCTTTTTGGCCCTCTTATTCATAATTTTGATTCTCAGTCTTATTATTTTTGTATTGTCAGATATCGAAGAGCTCTGGAACCTGCTCACAACAGAAGTGCCAGTGTTCGGCTGGGATGATGACGATGACACACTAGCCAGCACTGTCAAGTCAAGGAGCACCAAGAAGCCCACCACCAAAGAGGCTGCTGTGGTAAGGATACCAAACTGACTGACTGATCAAATAATGAAAAAAAGAAATAACGATCAATTGAATGACCTTTTTTTTAGCGAAGCTCAATGACTTTCGTAACTATCGGCGACTCGAAGAACCATGCGCCTTACGCCCTGCCAGGGATCACTCCCGCGCATGAGATGGAGTTGATCGTCAGCATGGCCAGAGACCTGCCATTGAAGAAACCTTTGCCAGAGCCCGGTAAGACACTGGAAAATCTATTGATAGACGTATCATCGCCATCAAAAAACAAAGAAGAAGAAGTAGATTTTTAAACTGTAAATAACATGTAAATATTGTGACAATGTGAGATGTATACCTAGGCCAATAGCTTCTCGTTGAAGATGAAAAAAATTAAGACCTGAAGAAAAGAATGTGTGGTCACAAATACATTTCGAGACTTTCAAGAGAGTCTCTTTCTGTGGGCGTTAGATTAATCGCAGGGGCAGGGGCATTTTGGGGCTATAATTTAAGAATAGTCCTTGAAAGTGACAATTGCACCTTAACATAAAGAGACACAAATCGTTATGTAGGAGAGGAAACATTTCCAGTTTAATCATATAACTGCGCTATTAAATACGACATGCAAAACGATGTTAGCAGTGAGGTGTTTTGAATACTAACAATTTTGAAAATTATTTGCTTCTTGTATTACAGACGTAGCATTATGGAAGCACTACCGTTGGGTAGACTGGGCCCGTAGGCATGGGCTGTACGAGGCTTATGACTGCCCTAGAACTAGATTCCTCAAGGTCAACGGACTACTGAAACTTTCTTATGCACCCCATTTGTTGGATGTGCAGAGCACGGAGTCAGTAAGTGTTACATTTGTCATTTAAAGTGACTTTAGTGTGATATTATTGTTACCGTACTTATTGTGTATATTACTTTGTCAATTTAGATCACTGCTGGGTTTAGAGAGGAACACGACAAAACTACTGCTCCACCGGTAATTTCTTCTTTTTGTTTCATCCTGCTTTCAAATATTTTTCCGGTGCTATCAGTAAATGTGAATGTTTATTTATAGATCAAGAAAGGTGCAAAGGATGTTAATAGATCTAATACAGGCAACCTTGCAGCCTCACAACAAGCTAAAGATGAGCTTCGGGAGTGGATTCAGTTCAATCCAGTAAGTAATAAGTATCTTGATTGATTATGGATCATTTCTATAAATATTGTATTTCTATGATCTAAAATACATTGACCTCAAAAACACTGCGAGTAAAATATGATTTCTAGATCTACGAACTCATCAAAAGCGTCAGCATCGTCTTCTACCCATCGATGTACCAATTCACGTCAGCAGCCAGCTGTCCCCCAATCAGAGTTACGAAAGGAGCTGTCAACAAACCAGTAGACATTGCTGCTCCTAAGTCAGCACCTTTGTACCTTCAAATCGACGGCCCAGAAGAAAATGTCCTAAGAATATCTTTGAGTGCTCTTCATCCAAGGATTCTGATGAATAGTGGAGTTCCAATTGTGGACTACATAGAGCATGCGTATCTTATTCTGGAGAAGTTTGAATGGTTCGTGGACTGTGAAATTCCTGTGGCAAAAGCGTTTGTGCAAACACGAGGGTATGATTCGGTTGAGATCATGTTTGAACCGGGAAGGCACATTTGCAGGTACGTGTACTACTGAATTGATATAATTCACTACTCCATCGCTTTATTTCAATAAGCATCATCAACATTCATTTAGCTACCTTCAGACACAATAGGTAATCAATTGTTACGCGGTAGCCGGCTACCGCTTGGGCGCTGAGAGGTTAAAAAGGCTACAACGTTCGTTTTCAGTCACTACCAGCTATTTACTTAAGATCTCCAGATTTTCGATCAATGGGGCTTCGTAGTTTCCATTTGAGATCTTGTTTACTCCACCATGAATTAATTTCAGAATTTGGGTGCATTCAAGAATGAACTGGCATGTGATGCTGCTCAGTGAGTCCACCCTTCTCTTGGGCACAAGAGACATGATCCACTGTGCTGCCGTCAGGGAATGTCCATGGGCTGCTAGATTTCTTACTAATTTGAGTTTAGCATTCTCCAACTGGATTCGCATAAACAGGTCAAATACCAACGTTCTGGCAACTGATAGAGAATTTTATAAGTGAGTAATTTTCTACATAACGTATTTTTATTGAAATCAAACTTTTTAATCCATGTGTTTCTTTATTATTTTTTTAGATCATACCAGCCAGATCTTACTTGGGAACCAGAAGAGGTGGGCTATGACAAATCTCTTCTTCACTGGATGTTCAGACAAGCGCTTCAGTCTTTACTGGCCAAAAAACTACAACCAGTAGACTATCGCAACGTCTGCATTGTACTAAGACGCTACTTTTGCGACCCTGACTTTGGTATACCAGAGAAACCGCGTCCGGGTAAATCTTTGAGGGATATAGCAACTATGGATCCATGTGACTGTCTTGTACCTGAAGCTGAGGAAATAGAAATGGGAGAGGAAATATTGGAAGAGCAGGTAAGCGTGCATTTTCTATTTCAAAATATTATATTATGAATTTCTGATTATGATTTCTTTTATTCACTTATTATGGATCTAGCAATGCCTGATCTAGCATTATATTCACACAGCAAGTCGGTGAGGAAAAGCCCCTCGTAGATGAGGCCAAAATGGCACAACTGCTAACTCCTCCTGTCGATCCTATCACTTCCCAAGTTTGTGAGCTAGCAACAGAAGAGCTCCCCTGTGGGATATTAAAGGAAGAAAGGGAGAAAGTCATCAGAAGACATGAAGCAGCAACGGTTCTTCAAGCTCACTGGAGAGGCACCTGGGCTAGGAAATGTTTGACTGCGCATGTTATTTTTACACCGGAAGTATTGAAAGCTGTGAGTATAGTTAAATCTTCAATAAGTCTGTCATCTATATATCCCCTCAAGCGATCTGCGGCGGGAAGGCGCTACTGCGTGAAGTGCCCCCCACTTCCCGCGGGAAAAAAAAAAATTCCCGTTGCGCATTTTCCCTAAAATAGCTTATCATTATTACCGTTACATACTATCGAGTCACATTTTTGGAATCTGGATAAAATTACCCGTCTTTTGGTGTAACTTTTAAGGCTAACAAATATATATTTTAGGTACAACACTTACTTGAAAAAAAAGATTCGTCATTTTTGTCACTTTTTGTGATTGCACTTGATTCACCTTCAAAATTAGAAGCAATGTTATATATTAACACTTATTTCCAAAGTTAATCACATTATACACGTTTTTTATAAAGAAAAACACACTTCCAAAGCATCTAAACGATAAAAAACATCCATCTTTTTCACTACCCAGACGGGCACCGCGGATCGCGTCATCTTCAAACACAGACTGAGAAAAATTTGGTTGAAAAGCAACCATAGTGCCTAGAAAATAGGTGCAGTCCTGTTGTCCCCCCTGGTTGGCCCCCCTGGGGGAGCCAACAGGATTTCGAAATCCTGTTGTCCCCCCTGGCTAGGGGAGACAACGAGACTAGATTNAAGGGCATTTTTTGGAGAAATTTATCAAATAACCAAAAAAACACGAATTTTTAGGCAGATTTTTTTCAAAAAGTATCATTTTTTATTATTTGTTGGCATTTTTTGTGTATTTTATGTATTATTTTAGTATCGCCTGTTATTTAGCATTATTACTGTTTTTATTTTAACAGGATATACCGCTTGGTTTAAAAGTTATTACGTTTTCTTTACAATAAGTAATTGGAAGAAAAAAAAATCTATAAAAAATTAAAAAAAAATATCAAAAAATTTTTGACCTCTTTTTTGTCGATAAAAATAGGTCTAGTTTCATCTATTTTCATATGTACACTTAAACGTGACTCACACTGTATAAAAGAAAGTCGTGTTAGTTACTCCACTTATAACTCAAGAACGGCTGAACCGATTTAGCTAAAAATTGACAGGGAGGTAGTTTAGAGCCAGGAGAAGGACAAAGGATACTTTTTATTGCCATTAAGGCGGAACAAAGTTCGCCGGGTCAGCTAGTTTATTATAAGCTTTAAGAGTAGGCGCACACCGTTGATTTTTCGTCGGCCGATAGTTTAGTCGGGCAGTTGATCAGTATGGGCATGTATGGGAGTGCGCACACTACGCCGATTCGATTTGGCCGATTCTTCATACAAATTAAAATCGGGCACAACTATCGGCCAACTAAAAATCAACGGTGTGCGCCTACTCTAAGTTTTATTTTGATGCTTTGCTGAAAAATCTTCAGCAAAGTGAAGAAAAAGTTAAACCTCCTAGGAAAATAAGCGCTTCTAAACGTATAAACTTCTAAGCGTATTTTTCAGATAATGGACAACGCATTTGGAAACCTCGAAGCTCTATCAGCCCTGATGAATGAGTTCTTCGCTATGTACCCCAAAACGAAACCTGCCTACTCTGTCGCTTCTGCACTTACCGGCAGATACGGCTTACGCCAATTTACAGGTTCGACTCCCATCACACCCAAATGCAAGTGGATTCCGTATTTCCAAGGGGTCTTTTTCTGCCATAGCCCTGTCAAAGTACATTTCGACGTGCAGAGCTCATTGCAGTACAGTACCATCGCTGTGTACAATAACGATAATGGAGCTCAGATGCCTCAAGTTTATAATGCTCATATTACTTTTGACTTTGAGCCGAATCTTCATGGGTAAGTTGACTTGTATACTTTTTATGTCATCATGTGGTTATAGATAACCGTACTTCAATGAGCTTACTTTGCATGCTCAAGGCTATTTCACTATCACTACTTTTGTCCTTTAGTTTTTCGTATTCAGCAATGACTATGGTATCATTCATAACTGAAATGCCATTCACAGCTACACCGTAATGGGCCACGGCACCCTCAACCAGCCCTCGGGCATCAATACCGAAGTCCACTGGCAGTTGACAGTCCTCTGCAGCATCGATGAGGTCTTCCACATTTGTGACAACGACCCTGACGGCTGCAGGGAGTTGCCTCTTCCTCACTCCCATAAACTGCATTTGGATGAAATATTTATACCGAATAGGAGGAATATCCTTGGAGGGATTCTGATTTCGGTGGTGAAGCATGAAGCGGTTAGCTTTAGAGCTGCTGCCACTTCGCCTGATGTAAGTAATCTTTTAATTCTCTAACGCCTCTGTGATCTAGTGGTAAGACCACCAGCTTCAGACGCAGAGGTCCCGGGTTCGATTCCCAGAGAGGGCAGATTTTTCTGTTCGGTTTGGTTGGTGGTAGGGCTTGTTCTAAGTCCGCCTGGCTAGCTACCACCATCTTACCTAAGTCTGTCGCCATATCAACAATATTAACAGCATTGTTATGTTCCGGCAGTTAGAGTTAAGATAGCCAGTTCCTCCGTGGTTGATGATTCCGGGTGAAGCTCGCTTCCACCTTCGTCCTGATCATCACTTACCATCAGGTGAGATATAGGCCAAGAGCTTCCTCGTTGTGGATAAAAAAAAAAGTCAGCGCACAGGTCTTATAGGTATGGGCCAGTGAGTGCCTTAGGTATGAGCAGCACAAAAGGGTGTTTTTGGTTATGTCAAATGTCAGTGAGTCTTCAGGTTTGTATGTTCTGTACACGTCATAATGCTCTCATGCCGCTCCCATACCTCAGGCATTGACTGAGTTAAGTGTTAGATAGGTTTTATACTCAGATGAGACACGCAAATTCTTTCGATTTTATCACGTTAAATTTTCAGTTGGAGATAGAAGTAATCCTACGGACAACAACAGACGGCGTAGTCCAAGAGCTGGCCAAGTGTTCTGGCAAAGGAGAGGTGCATTGGCCTTACGTGAGGCTGGAGCCAGCTGTTTTACCAGCTACTTCATCGATGAAGAGGACCTCTACATCACAGGCCAATTTACCCACGGTTAGTGTGAATTCTTAAGGATAAAGGATACACCTATAATCTACATGGCTGCCGATGGTATTCTTTGTAAATAAAGATTTTTATTATTATTATTTTTTATTATTATATAAACATTGTGTTTGTGGGGCAGGAAAGTTCTTGAGTGGCGACCACGAGCTGGAAGACGTAGCGTGGGCAGGCCTCCCACTAGGTGGACCGACGATCTGGTGAAGGTCGCGGGAGGTACCTGGATGCAAGCGGCGCAGGACCGGTCTTTGTGGAAATCCTTGGGGGAGGCCTTTGTCCAGCAGTGGACGTCTTTCGGCTGAAACGAACGAACGAACGATTGTGTTTAAGCTCAGTCGAAATATATGCATTAATTTTGCTAACAATTTACAGTCGTATTTTGTATTCATTAACTGGAATTAAGGATGCTCTTTGTTCAGGGTCGTGACATCGCCAGTGCTCGGTCTCTGAAGTCACCAAAATCAGCAAAACCAAGTCCCAGTGCAAAGAATAGATCAACAACCAAGGTATACTAATAAAACTATGGGATACATCTTTACTTTTAAGATATTTTTAAATATAATAAAATTTGCTTCTTATTATTTTGTTTTTCAGTTGAAAAATCTGCCACCTGATCCGAAACAATATTCGATTGAGTAAGCATTTCCAACTCACTATGCCCTCGAATCATGTAGAACACAGTAATTGTATTCAATAAAAACTAGCATGTTAAATTGATTAGAGCGACACTGCTCACACTGCAGATGTCACTTTACAATATAACAACAAATCTTATAGCAAACCTAATATTTCAGGGTGATAGCCCCCAACGGATGGCCACTAACACTAGCTCAATGGAAGAGAGTGGATGAAATACGCAATTCCAATGGATTCACTAAAATTGACATTCAGCCAAAGAAACCAGTGAAAGATAAGGTATTCTTAACTCCATCATACTTTTACATTGTTCATCTATAAAATCCTACTAATCCTATTTCCTATTTCATTATTATTATTAATATTATAAATGCGAAAGTTTGGATGTCTGGATGTCTGGATGTTTGTTACTCTTTCACGCAAAAACTACTAAACGGATTTTGTTAAAACCTTACAGTATTGTTGTTTATAACCCAGATTAACATATATCGTCATTGGTTAAAATCTACAGCGCTGGACAAACAAACTGCTTTTGACGTTCGTAAATGTTCATGCGGGGGAAGCCGTGAAACGCCATCTATCAACATGAAATCTAACAACAGATTTTAGGGGGTAAAACGAAGTCCATGCGTACGAAGTCGCGGGCGGCCGCTAGTATCATAATAATGCTAAAAGTTTGCATCAAAAATTATTCAATGGACGTTCTCGCCATTGGCCTCCCCACAAAAAAATCCCTTTTCTTCCAAGCCTGCCTCAGCCAAAGACAAGGAGAAGGAAAAAGAAAAAAGCCAGCCGGTCTCCTCAGCCCACCAGCCTCAGCCAGACGACGCGTACATTGTCCTGGAGTGCGCACTAGCGATTGGAGGAGGAGCCTACGCTAGGCGGGATGATGAGAGGGACCTGGAGTTTGCAGCAGCCATCAGGCTGTGGGACGCTAGGGAGCCTGGGAGGAACAGTAGAGGCGCTCAGATAAGGTAACTTTAGAGTTTTGAGAATAATTCTAAAGCCTGGTCCGTGAGCACGTAGAATTTTGTCCAATGACCCCAAGCTACCCATGCTTATCGCTCGCGCGTAATTATGTTGCTGTCTCGCTCGCACACTCACTGCGGGCACCAGTCGCACAGTCGCGACAGCAATATAATTACGCTCGAGCGATAAGGATGGGTAGCTTGGGGTCATTGGACAAAATTCTACGTGCTCACGGACCAGGCTTTAGCTGAAGTAGAACTCTGAGAGCCTGAGAACTCTATCCAGAGATTAGAAAGTTCGGGATTTTCTCAACTCTATTAGAGATTCTAGGAAGGCTTGTATCACTAAAATTATGGTAAAACTCCAGTCTTCGCTTTGCAATGAGGATCAGTACTGTTGTAGAAAATTCAATAAAACTAGTATCTACGTTAATCTTTAAGACATAAGAAAGATATATCTTTTTGAATTTTCCAAATCGGACCATCACTAACGAAGATATTAAGTAATAAACATAGGCCGTTTTTGCCGCTAAAAGTCAGGGGCTAGCCTTACCCAGCTTCTGGCCTGGGGGAGGGGGGGGGACATTGCAGTTGAATATTCAAGTTCTGAATTTGATTATTGATGAATAATAAAATAAATCCTACTAGCTCGATTGATGGTTTCATTTCATTTATTTAAACCAGGTTACCTATAATAATATTTTTTCGTTAATTTATGAAAATATCAAATTAGCCCGTAATCCTGAATCCTGATACATAAAGTTAGCCTATTAATTTAACACAGGTACGACTGTACTCAGTGTTGCACTATCAAATGCAATTGACGCGCCTCTATGCCAGGGTTTTTATGTTCCTGGTCAGGCTATAAAGCAGATTTCGGATACCGGTACTGCCGGTACCAACAACTTATATTTTTTTCGTTACCAAAATATTCATTATTATTTGACATTCGTTTAGGTATTTAGTTTGGCAATAAGTATGACATTCAGTCAGGTACTCCATTTTCAGTTCATCTTAAAGTTATAAAAATATATGGCTTCTAAATACTCAATGTTTGCCAGGGGGGACAACAGTCCTCAAATCATTGATTGAAAATCCAGTCCTGTTGTCTCCCCTAGCCAGGGGGGACAACAGGATTTCGAAATCCTGTTGGCTCCCCCAGGGGGGCCAAGCAGGGGGGACAACAGGACTGCACCTAGAAAATATAGCTATCACATTCATACTTAAGCATTATTACTTTCGAGCGAAAGAAACAGAACTATATTTTTTAAATGACAAGGTCCCGAACTTGGACAAGTGATTTGCGGCGGGAGCCGCCGCAGAGCACTTTAGAGCTTCGTGACGTGCGTCTCCTCCCGCCGCGGGTCGCTTGACAGGACAGTGTGAGTCACGTTAAAGTGTACATATGAAAATAGATGAAACTAAACCTATTTTTATCGACAAAAAAGAGGTCAAAATATTTTTGAGATTTGTTTTTAATTTTTTATAGAATTTTTTTTCTTCCAATTACTTATTGTTTATTGTAAAGAAAACGTAATAACTTTTAAACTAAGCGGTATATCCTGATAAAATAAAAACAGTAATAATGCTAAATAACAGGCGATACTAAAAAAATACATAAAATACACAAAAAAGGCCAACAAATAATAAAAAATGATACTTTTTGAAAAATTACCTATCGATAGCTTACTTTATTCTGATGAATAAATGTCATTACAAGTTTTTCTCTAAAACTGATAGTTTGGCTAGAAAAAAATATTTTCTATCCACGCAGTACGCCGGGAGCGTTCGGATCGGATATAATGACGTCATCGTCCCCGCGCCGGGCGGTCAGTGAACTTTTTTAGTAATTTGGCCATAACTTCGTTAATTTTTGTCGTAGAACAAAAATTTTTGGACTGTGTATTAAGGATTTCTTAGCCCTATAAATCTGCATTCACAGCTAAAAATCGAAATGATCCTCATTAATAGTTTGGTTAGACAATTTTTATGGACCGAAACATTATCATTTTATTTAAGCAAAGCAACAAACATAATATTATTATCATTAATTTATTTAAGCGAAGCGACAACAGGCCAATGTAAAAATGTTGGCCTGGCCGAGTCGAGATCGTCCTCCCTCTATCGCAACTCAAATTTAAACTATTTTAATTTCCGCCGCATTGACTATTGTTGTGAACCCACTCGTAGTCGTAACACAAGCATTATTTAGCTTACAGATACTTGAAGAGCTTTTTTCTAATCTGTAACTTCTTGTGACACCCTGTATAAAGAATTAAATAATAACTTTCTTGTATAACGTAATAACAAGAGATTCTGCAGACAGTACAGGTTTATTTTATTTCGAAACTGCAATAATAACCTGAAACACAAAGAAATAAAGTTCCTCATGTTATTCCACAGTAACATCTGAACCCACATTTTTACAGGAAAATTCCGCTAGCTCGTTTCTCGGGTACAGTTAAAAACAATAAATGCGACTGTATCTATGTCGCTATTTGATTTTGAAAATCGTAGGTCATAAAATCTTAAAAACATAATTCACACAATCACACTCAACGTTAGTCTTATTTTTCCGTGAATTTAATAAGAGGCTTCAAACGAAATACCGTGATGCGCCTTCAGTTTCAGGCATACGGCTTATCTCCACATAAAAAGCAATTTCCCGGTTTATTTTTTTTATCATGCACGCACCAATCACACTTCACTGTGACTTTACTATACAATTTCAAATGACAAAATCTATTAGTATTATAGTACAGCTAGCTTTTTAAACCACTATTAACGTACCCTCGACTATTATCTCATTAGAAAAAATAACTATCTAACTACCATAAAAATAACTAACAATTTTGAAAACTTGCAATAATTTTACCTTAATAGAAATAAGTAGCCTAACTACTCATGTTTATCCCCGACTGTACCTGTTATATTATCTTTATTCCAGGAAAGATTTCAGGGCCGAATTCCTGGAAGCGCTGCCTCCGCCGCCTTCTGAGAGTTTACATTCGCTAATAGAGGTACACTTCATAAATAGTTTATGTCCACAGCCTACAAGGAGATTTTGTTTGGATAATCCCATGATTATCATTTTAGATTAGCTCATAAAAAGTATGTCAATTGACTAGAGGTGTCAACTACCATTAGTTGACACCTCTAGTCAATTGACATACTTTTTATGAGCTGTCAAAATAACGCCCGTATTCACAAATATTACTAGAAGGTCTCACAGTGCGCGTGGACGCACAGGGTCACACACGAACCAATCACAGAGCTCTGTTCAACGCGGTGCGTTTGATTTGCTGCGTCACTTAAGCAAGCATCGTTTGTGAATATGGTTGTAAGACTCTGATTTTGTATCATCATCATTCAGCCAACGTATCACCTCTGTCTATCTACCTTGTAGTAGAAGGAAATCGATCCTACTTATCATGATCATCATTTCAGCCATATGAACTGCTGAACATAGGCCACCCCCAATGATTTCCATAATGGTAGCAATTTTGTATGAGAAAGGGAAAATTTGAAAGTTAATTTATTGACTTTTATAGATTTCAAAGCCAAAAAAATTGAGTTTTCAGCAAATGGAAAACTAATTCAGTATTCAAGGCTAGAATTAAGTGTTTTATAAAAATAAAAATAAAAAGTATTTATTTCAGATAACAGGGATCCATAATGTTAGTAAAAACTTAGGCTATGTTACTATCTTATTTCTTTCTTTTTTAAGATGTTGTCTTACTTATCAGGTTCGGATCAGTCCCACTTCTTGCTCCCATCTCAAAAACTGAACTGTAATTAAATTAATCAAAAGAAAATTTTAGGAACTCAACCAAAGCTGTGTAGAATCAATTTCCTCCTACTACAAGGTGAATGATAAATGTCATATACATTTGCATGACTGTTGAAAATATAAATATTGTTGTTTCATTTGTAAAAGGATTCATAGGAATTACGAAGTCATATTACTGCGTAATCACTTGAAAAATATTAAGCTGGAAAAATATATTTTCCAAGAAAAAGTTATTACTGAAAGTACCTACTAGATACTGGAAATTATCTGAGAGGGCTTAATTCATATTAAAGGAAAATTTTCATCAGAATTACCTTATAATATTCTGAAGAGTCTCCAATAATAATAATGTTGCTTTCTTATAGGAATCTTTTGCTGAGGAGCTTGGTGAAGAGGAAAAAAGTAAGTAAGATCCACTGGGTGAGTCGAGTTAGGTATAATAATATTTTTTCTTGCGGAAGTGATATTCTTATTTGTTTTGTATAGAGACAAGCTCGGTAAAATGAATGCTAGAGCTGAAATAGAAAATTACTATTTCTTTGAATAAAAATAGTGAGGATTTTCGCATATTCATAAATGAATTTATTATTGATGTCCTTAAGCGACTGACTGAAATTTAAATTTTATTATAACATTAATATTGTATTTTTGTCGTATAGAGGAGCCACAACAGTTGCAACAAGGACCGACGCCGGCCACGGAGAGTGGAAGTAAGTAATTGATTATTTTAATCAGACAAAGAGAGTAAGCCTTTGGGTCAGCTGGTTCTCATGATTTCTAACATTATATTCACTCTTGGAAATTATGGGTCTACTTAAACAACTGTCACATACATAGTTTCAACTTATTTAATGGCTTGATCGTTCACAAACATTTTTCGATTCTATAAACATATTTGGCTATGTAAATATATGTATTATGTCTAGTGTCCGACCGAATATGGATTTTCAGCCGAAAACGGAAACGAAAACGAAGCTTCGGCTGCAGTCTCATTTTCGGCCGAAAACGAAAACGAAAACGAAAATGACCTTCAACTCTCAAATTTCAATCTGAAATTATGTAAAAACTTTGAAAACCGTTAATGTTTTGACCAAAAACATAATGACGTTTGACAGTTGATTTTCAAAGATTGATTATAGAAAACCGGCATTAAAACACAAAAACATTAATCATGAATTCTTAGTAGAATATTATTTCCGGTGTATATTGAAATATTGGGAAGTGAAGAAGAAATAAAGGGTGTCCAGTGGGAATTTTTTAACTTCAAAAATGAATACAAATAAATTAATGATTTTTTATTATTTATTACTAATGCAAACTGGAGTTTAACAATGTGGATTAATTTTTTTATAGGCAATGTCTTTTAAATGATGCCCGTTTTACTATAGGCACTCTCACAGCCGGACCATTACATTCGCAACTATGCGAGAGCAAATCGCGCTAATAATTTTCCTGCAACTTCACGGCGGATATTTTCTTACAGAATCTGAATTATTTAAGGATTGTTTGCTGTAAACTTTTGACTTGAGATATCCCCACAAGAAAAAGTCGCATGGTGTGAAATCTGGTGACCGAGGCGGCTAGGGTATGTCCCTGTACTTGCTGATCATTTATTTGAAAAAAAAAAAATAGTCCTCAGTGTCTCCATCGAGGTACTCTCCCTGTGTGGTGAGACACCTTCTTGCTGAAATAGAGTTACGTAGTTGACCGGGATGCAGTTGCAGTTGTGGTATAAGACATTCATGATCATTCGACAATACATTTCAAATACTTATTGCTCAGCTGCGAACGCTCTGTAGGCTCCCAACCAGTGACTCATGGCGTATTTCAAATCCGCATAAGACTCTATTTTGAAACAATTAAACTTAATGAAAACTCTTTGAGTTTATTGTATTCAATTTTGAACTTGGAAAATTGTCGCTGGACACCCTTTACAACGTAATCTCACTTCACAACTTCAAAAGAGTGTGACAATACCGCGTCCGTTCAAGTCTGATTGGAACCATGAGTGCACCAGATTCACTCCCGAAGATATCGGAACAATAAACGTCACCATCTTATTCACGTATTTTTGATATTCGGTTTGGCCGAAGCTTCGGCTGGTTTTTGGCCGAAAACGAAAATATGGCCGAATGTCCATTTTTTGGCCGAAAATGGCCGAAAACGAAAACGAAAACGAATATTCGGTCGGTCACTAATTATGTCTCTCTCTCTCACCCTCTCTAAAATTGGACGTCCTAAATAAACATAAAACATTTGCCTAATCCTTTTTTTATCAGTCCGGGAAGTTTCACTTTTAAAGAATTCGATTTGATGGATGCGATGATTGGATTGCGTAGGTACCGGACTACAAAGCTAACTGTTGTGGTTGCAAAATGGGTGACCAATGTCAAAATTATTGAGTTAAGATTTTTTCAGCAGTTATTACTGCCTTGATTATATAGCAAATAAATAAATTCTAAATACGTATATTATAATATGAATTTAAATGCTTTTCCTTCAGTGTTGGAGATGACCGTCGAAAGCGAGGAAGAAGCAAGATATTTGACAATGCCAGAACAACTAAAGGACAAGTTCATACCATTGTACTTTTTGCCGTTCTGCACGAAGGAAAAAGACGAATCGGAAAGGTGAGACTTCGGAAACTTTCCGATTGAAACGTCAGTGCCTGTTGATTTGAGACGACGTAACTCTATTCGAGGGGAAACTTTGCTTCAATCTCGATTCAGGCGCTAAAATATACGTAGCCTTGTTACACTATGGCTGGAAAATCCATTTAAATGTAACTACATATGTTTTGATATTTTATACTTTTCAATACATAATTTATTAGAATTTTATATGCCTATTTTGAGAAATGATGAGTGCTCAATACGAAGTAATTATCATAGGCATGTATTTAAATGATCTTTTTAAATTAGCAAAAACGGCAAATAAAAAAATCTAAATGGTCATCTATTTTAATGATTGATCCTCTTTCTTTGAGACATAAAATAAATAAAATCGATCGATATTTTAACCTCTTTTGAACTACGGAAAAAAAATTGAGATGTAAAAATTATATCTGATCGATTGTTGGTCCTCAAAAATAAAAGAAATGAGCACCAAATATTCAATATTGTGATACTTTTTTAAATAATTCGATTAGTATAAATTATTTTTTGTCTATATCAAATAATCTTCAAAATAATTATGTTATGGTACTTATTTTTATTAAGTTGTAGTCAAAGGATGGAAACTATTTAAAGGCACTTGATGTTCAACGATTTTTATTTATTAAAAAAGCATACTTAACACGTTCACACTGCGTTATCGGGTCGAATTGACCTTAGGTGCTGGATGCGTTGGTGCGGGATGGATATATTCGGTCTTTTCAGTAGCACGAAAGATAAATATTGTTTTGCAATTGTTTCGTCAAACACAGTAAATATTTGGAAAAAAAAACTTATCAGGTCCTTACGACCCGATGTCGCACTAAAAGTAAACAAATATCGTTTAGTGCTTTTATCGTGTCTAATCGACCCATTGACAGATGACTTTATGGTCACTGATCACGGTCGAGATCGGTATACTAAGAGAAAATCAACCTTGCGATTTGAAAAAAATAAAGAGGTAAAAATTATGATGTCGGGTTCAGGAATGTCAGAAGTAAGAAATTATTTTACATAGCGCCTCTAGTCCCAAACTAAGCAAAGCTTGTAATTTAAACAAACATGGCAATGTACCATTCTGCTTGCTTATTGGCCGCTAAGCCCTTGGCCAACTCAGTAACCAATGACGGACGATTGTCCCTCAACCACAAAGTACCGCGTAAATTAAAAGATATTTTTTAATTAAAAATATTAACCAATAATATTTTTTGTTAGATCAAATAATATTTTAAAGTTAAGTTATACATAGATCGAAATGTATTTATTAGGTGATCAATATTAAAAGGCAAACTTGATATAAAAATCATCAAATTAACAAAATTAAAGATCAATAACTAAAAAAGAGGATCAAATATGATTTTTGTTTACCAAATATTAAAAGAGTATGTTAAACATAAATATTATGTTACCTTTAATGAAGATCATTCATAATTTATCCGTAGATCAACTATTATAGACCCAATAATTAATATAAAGATAAAATATAATAAAAAACATCATTTATTTTTAAAAGTGCACATACAAAAAAGATCAATTAGTTTTTAGAGGATCAAATAATATTGTCCCATTATCATACTTAACTTCTATAAAAATATGAAATTACAATTCAAAGAAATGAAGGTACTTACAGAAGCCATTATAAATATATATTTTTTATTATTTTCAATTGAATTACCCATTGATTAGTAAATACCTTATTCTTATACGAATATCAGCGAATCATGCTTAACACTATATCTATGTACCATTATAATACGAGAATTAACACGATTATTATGAATAAATAATGGACTTAAATATTTACTTCATAATCGCCTGACGCTTTGGTCGGATTACATCAACTACGCAGTTGCAATATTGCCATAAAAAACATACCTAATCTCATTGACTCTACTGTAGACCATAGACCATAATCAGTCGGTGATTTGAGTTTCTTTCGCCACTTCTTCTCAACACCAGCCGATATTATGGTCCCTAAGTGGTGGTAAGGCAAGCTATATTTAGGACGTATTTAGGTGCCGTGAAAAATGCCCAGTTTATAGATTTTGAATTTGGATAGGTAATATTATTTATCTAATATTACTTACCTTCCACTTCAGACAGTGGTGACTGAGTTTGTTGCGGCGCTTCTTCTCAGCATTTGACGATTTGCAAGAACTAATTTAATTAGTCTAAACAAATAAAGATAATTTTGATTTTGATTTTGATTTTCAGTATCCTCATATCACCTGACATGGCCGAGGCAGCAAAGAAGGAGCGACACGCGCGCATCGAGGCAGCGCTAGAAAGGATGCGAGAGCTTCAGCATTACAATGAACAGTTCGTGCTAGGGCGGCAGAAGAAGAGGTGCCAGCTCTTGGAGAAGCTGTTCGTTGGTATGTATTAACGGGACCAATATTATCTTGGTTTGCTAGCCCTGTAACACTTGTGTAACCAGGATCTCATCATCTCAGCCGTAGGACGTCCACTGCTGAACATAGCTAGGCCTCCCCCAATGCTTTCCATGTTACCCGGTTGGTAGCGGCCTGCGTCCAGCGCTTTCCTGCTACCTTTATGATGCCGTTGGTCCAGCGACGTCATAGCCAGTCATTCTACAGCCTATGAAACCCATTTGTTGAAGGTTGAGTAAAGAGTATCCCATCAAAAACAATACTTGTCAAAAAAACCAGGTCTCGCAACTCAGTTGTTGAAACACGTGTAAATTAATTTATTTAGTGCGATGGCCAAGTCAATAATTTATGTAAAACGTTAAAGATTTCCTGGCCTGGACTTGGTATTACATGGATCTCACAACTTTTTACCGTAGAACAACTGAGTTGCGAGACTTGGTTTTTTTGACAAGTATTGTTTTTGATGGGATCTCATTTCTTTTTGTATTTTGTAAACAGCAGTTATGTATCTAGAAAACTGGACCGAAATTGAAAAATTTTACTCGACTTGGCAGTTGCACTACCGTGCCCCCAAATATTTTAGTTTTTTCTTGATTCATACACCAAACACTACTTATATTCTAAATTTGAAGCTTCTAGGTCTGCTAGAAGTGCCCTAGAATTTTTATGATCGGTGAGTCAGTGAATGACAAAATTATAACTTTGACCCGTTATAATTCTTAAACTACTGGTTCAAATTGAATGAAATTTTAAATATACCGTGTCTTTACAATTCCTGCATAGCTAATGAAAATTCAGCCTTCTAGTTTTATCCACAACGAAGTTACAGGGGGTCGAAAATGGCCTGAGTTGCTTCGAGAAAAGGATGGTACGGCCGTGCCGCTTTTTTGCTCGACTTGGTGGGGGCACTGCCGTGCCCCCAGAAAACTACTTGGCTTTAATGTGTTCTCGTATTACCTACTTACTGCATATTATAATATAATACTTACTTTTTTATCGCTTCCTAAAAGCTGCTACTTCGTACGCATTAAACAAAGCCATAGCTATACATAGACTATAGTATGACATTGTGTGTCAAACTTTTGGCAAGATCCTGCATGAAAAACGCACTTGTCCCATAGCTGCTTTCAGCAATCATACCTTGATCATCATCTTACCAGGTGGGATCAGATCAGACTGAGTAAGGTGTAGGTAAGTGACACCTATGGTAATATTATTTCCAGATTCTCAATGGAACCCAGAGTTAAACGAAGTGCTAGAAGAAAGAGACGACGCTATAGCTCGCGAGACCCTAAACAGAACACTATCGGCGACTAAAAAGAAACTAGATGCTAAGAAGAAGTAACTGAATAAGAAAAGATGAATTTGCGTTAATTTTACTGAAGAGGGCTAAATGTTTAAGTTTATTGTTTATGACATAAGAATTCAGTTTTAGTTTAAGCCACGATACCTACTAAGTTGATGAAGTATAAAAGTTATGATGAATATTGTGGTTTTTAATTCAATATTTCCTCATTTGCGAATATCTAGGAATTGGAATCACTACCTACCGTTGTCACCCTCAAACACTATAAACTGAGGCAAGTGCGAGTGGACAGAGAGTATTGCTTACTTAGCAGACCATATGCTATTCCAGAAATCTCTTATTGAGAAGTTACGCTTAAAACGCTTTCCTCAGAAAGTTACTTCATACACAACACACACACTTTGTACAATCGTATAGGAATTAATGAATATAATGCTTAAATGTTTCGAAGAGTGGAAAGAAGAAAATTAAATTGGAGGAATTGGAGAAGTAGTCCTTTCAACATCACCAACAAAATACATCATCATCATCTCAGCCATAGGACGTCCACTGCTGAACATAGGCCTCCTCCAATGCTTTCCATGTTGCCCCACAAATACATACTAAATTGAAACACTTTCCTCTAGAACTCTCGTCAAAGACATTCTTTTGATCGGCCGAACTTGACTTTTTTCATTTATGAAGCTCGTCTCACTTAAGCGATTGAGTACGGAATAATAAAACCGTTCGACCACCAAAAGGAATATGATAGAGCCTGAAATCCAATAACACTAGTGATCCGTGCAGATTTTGCGAGGCCAGAGATTATGATAGACTAACGAGATGCAGAAGTGCTATTTTGGCTTAGTTTTATGCCTAAACAAACCTACATAATATCAAATTTACAGACACCAGAGTCCAGGAGCTAAGGAAGCCCGTAGAAACCGTGCCCTGGATCGTGGTAATAACCTAAGGTCATCGTCTTGTGAGGCGATCGAAAATAAATGCAAAAAGAAAGAGGTGAGTGGTAATTTCCCGAAAATGAACCCTATTTGGAGAAGTTATGATCAGAAAATCAAGCACGTCGTCGCAAAAAAGTGGCCAATTCTCAAGGGCATCACAGTAGGAAAAAGTTTGGGAAGCCTTGCACTACACAAAGTAAGAAAATTAAATTCTGATCAAGGTTGCTACCATGGTGCTAATATGGTTTTTATGTGACAGGAGGCAAACGAGCTGACGGATCACCTGATGGTAAGTGATTACCGTCACCTATAGACACCATGTAAAATATTTCAGAATAAAACATCCTTTTTTGTTAGACCTTACCTACTGCACCTTCTGTACTATATCTATTCCTATCCCTACGTCCGCAATATCGGGGTTATTGCAATGGCGGCGCACTCTGTCTCGCTGCACGGTGATGGATCAGCTGGTATTTACTCAGCCTTTGATTTCTAAGATTGAGAACTGGAGTTTAGTTTGGTTACTAACCAATACTTACGAGATATAGCAATTTATCGTTTAGACTGATGATCGTTTTCTCCATCAATTCCTGTTATGTGTTACTATCGGCGTAACTTAAAAATTAGGAATTGATGGTGAAAAAGGGCATCAGAAAATTCTTGCTAGAGTCACTCATTTTGCTATGTCCCTTGAATTAAAGCTAGTAAAGATTCTAAAGAATAAAGGGCATTTTCTACCTCTGACAATTTATTTAATGTAGTGTAAGGTTACTGGAGCAATGGAAAACAGGTAAGAAGGTTACGTATTTATCTATCGCTACAAATCTTTAGAAGTAACTAGCTTTCCGCCCGCGGCTCCGCCCGCGTGGAATTTCGTTTGTTAAATTTTCCTGAATTTTCTTTGCTATAAACCTCACGGAGCCCGAGACCTTTCCAACGAATGCAAAACCGTGGAAATCGGTTTGTGCGTTCTGGAGTTATAGCGTCAGGAAGGAAAACCCGACTTATTTTTATATAGTAGATGAAAATTATTGAATACGTAGAAAGTTTTCAGTTGGCAATTTTTATTGACATTGTGGGGGACAGATATTATTTTTGCCCCAAAATTAGTACATCACACTGACACAGGAGGCAGGTAGCTAGGACTAAGATAAATGAGAGATCGCCGAACCCCTAAGAACACACGTTCGCGAGCAGTATTCGCTGTTCATAGAAACGTTCGCTAAGTTTTGAAATAATTGACCAATTTCAGTTGTATTTTAAAATGGACTTTAGACTTGTTCGATGCGTCTTAGGCCCATTTACATCCGATGTTAGTGTAGCTTGCTAGTTTTGGGACAATCTTTTTACTAGCCCGTGTACACATACAAGCATTTTATTTTGTCATTGTACATGGGTTTACCGCACTCTTTCCTCTTGCGCAACAGCCAGTATCACGAGAAAATGCTTGTTTCATTTAGCGTGCAATGCGAGTGGTACAACACAATGTTTTCGTAATGCAATTAAAGCTCTGCCGATTGGATAATTGATTCCACACATTTGTCACGCCAACAGCGCTCATTACCGGTAAAGGGTGGTGCATAATGTGTTGGTTTTAAATGTAACTTAGGTAGGTAACATTAAACATGCGGTGCTTACGGGACTTTGAATTCACTTACAGGACAGCTAGGTTGTAGGTAGATTCTGTAGATAGAGTTGATGTGGTAGAAATGACTACTCTGTACACAGTATTTAGCTCAATATTCTGTATGTCTGTAAATAAAGAATGATCAATTTGCCTTAATGTACTGCATATCTCGTAGACTGCTAAACGGTCGCATAAGACCGCGGTAATAATTGATTTCTATTGTGTCTCGATTCGCTGGTACTTGAAGGGCTATATAAGAACTAATTTTAAGAAAATTTGTGAAGTGTATGAAACTTAACGGAGATACTGAACTAAAATTGAAAATAAGAAAATAAGGAATATCTTATAACGCAAAACAGATAACCCTAGAATTGCTAGCATATTACTGTTATTTTATTACTACATCAGGCTTTCAGTGTGCGCCCATCCTTACAATCGGTTAACCATCCGATATGTATCGATGTGGAATCGTAAATCAAACTTTGCGCCAAAAGTTTAATTGAAATCGCTCGATCTGGCCGAGTGTAATCGGATTCGGTGGAATCATGATGCATTCTGATTAGGAATTTACATAGTTTGTGGTTTGGTGAAGGGATTTTGCGATGTTATTTGCAAAATTGGTTGAATTTCAATTGAAATGGATTATAAATTCGAATAATTCAATGGTGTTATAACCCACAATGATTTGTCAGTTAGCCTGATTTGGCATAAGTGTAGTCAGCGTCAAATTGTTTGTGACACCCAAAAGTTCTCGAGTGGCGACCACGAGCCGGAAGACGTACGCCTCCCACTTGGTGGACCGACGATTTGGTGAAGGGCGCAGAAGGTGCCTGGATGCGGGCGACCCAGGACCGGTCTTTGTGAAAACCTTGGGGGAGGCCTTTGTCCAGCAGTTGACGTCTTTCGGCTGAAACGAAAGACTCCAAAATGGCCAAAAATTTGAACACACTATTTCTATTGTATCAAAGACGTGTTGCGAACTTTTTAGCTACTTTGGGTGTCACGTACTATTTGACGCTGACTGTACAGCACATTAGAATATACTTTATGTTGCAAAATAACACCTATAACAATGAAATAAGGCCCTATATTGTTTAGCTTATTGTCAAGTCTGTACAAGCTTACACGTGCGCTATATTACACGTTTCAGTGAGCTTAATTCGCAAGTACAAATACAAACTTACGAGTAGTAGCTTCTACGTGTGTAGGCGTCTATAAAAGAGAGTTCAGGAACGCTGAAAAAATATTCGCCTAAAAACCTGAAGACTTGTTAAATACTTTTCAACGACTTAACTAGGTAGTCCTCTATAAAAGAACAATAGTTAAAAACTAGAATCAATATTAAAACTAAAATACTCTTAACTTAAGGCTGAGTTACACCACCTAACTTTGACGGTAACTATAAGGTTAACCGGTGCTTTTTGTATGGAGTTTGACAGATTTTTGTTTGTCAAAGTTAAAGTAAGATGTTGCCCAGCCTAAGAATGTTTAAATAATCATACCATAAATTGGTATGGTTGTAGGCTAGACCCCGAACTAAGCAGAACTTGTAGAGTCGTCAGCACAATCATCATCATCCTCTGTGAATGTGTACTGCTGGACTTTAGGGCTTCCCCGATACGTGCCATTTTAACCTACTTATCATCGGTTTGTCGTATCTATCGCCAGCCACATAAGCAAGTCACTTCACCGACAGTGGGCCGAGTGTGAATTTACATCAAACGCCCTCACTAGAGGGCGCGTTAAAAAAATGTATGAAAATTTTAGTTCGTGAACGTTTCCGCTTGGGGCGCTTTATAATCCGTCTTACATCTAATGTCATTTTTTACGCGCTCACTAGTGAGGTCGTTTGATGTAAAGTTTACTAAACTCACACTACGCCCTCAGGTATCTATCTATATCTGTCCACAAAGTCCGGTAGGCGAACAATCAAGCCCTCTACCAAAATACCACATGCAAAAATGGACAGCCAGATAGGGCCAGTCTCATTTTAATCAAGTGCAGTCCCCGCCGGATCGATACGTCGCCGGTTATTATTTCGTTAGGGCTTGTGCGACCCCGCCGGCACGCGGCAGTCTGAGGGTTAGTTTATACGTATGTATAGAAACACAACACGTTTAGAATAACCCCTAAGTTGCACCACCTATAGTTCATTCAGCTTATGATAGTGATTTAGACAGTTGAATCGTTTCATGAATCTTAGTCCAGTTATTTGGTACAAAATAATGACTTTACCTGGAAAGTTTTCCGGGAGTAATGAAAAATTGGTATTACATAGATTTCAATGTTCTCTTTATGAATTTCAACTTTGCGACCTCGTATGGTTGCCGCTCGCGCCGCCATATTGGAAAAATGCTGCCTAGTAGCAGTTTTTCTTAAATGTTTCCTTTCGGATTAAGAGAAACTAAAACTAGAGAAAATTTCTTATTTTTGATGTCTACATTTGTCAAAGTTAAAGTAAGATGGTGCAACCCAGCCTTAGACTTCTCTATGTTTTGCCAGTCACTAAA